CATGTGGACGTTGTTGCTTCTCAGCTAGATGACCGCTTGTTTATCTTCAAGCCTTCAAGACCCCAGAGCTATATCATTTGTTAGCTCTACACCATCAGCTTTCTTCACATTTGCTTATGCACCAATTTGTCTTCAGTGGTTGTGTTGGGAAGCTGAGCATCAGGGAATGCCAGGTTATTAGAACAAAGTGTTCTTGCATTGAGGGAGTACTTGAGTAGAGGCCCAATGTGTGTCTGCTAACTTGATACTTATAACATATAAATATATGTACATAGATCTATTTCTTTATTATCATATATGAATATATTTACATATGTACATGCCTGTATTTAGACCTCTATAAATGCCCTTTGCCTCCTAGTTCTTCACTCTATTTCCTTTTACTTTCCCCTTGTCCCACTATCATGTTCGGCCTTTATTCAGGTTTCAGTAATTCCTCTCGGTTACATTGCCCTTGATCAAGCCCTACCAGGCCTCCTACACCTTCTTTGCCATCGATTTTAGATCACTTGTTGTTCCCTTGTCCCTGGGTTTGCTAGCATCCACTTCCTTTCCCCAACCTCCCCTTCTTAGGTGACCTCCCTGGAACTGTTGGTTCCATTGTTTTCTCCTACAATTGTTTATCCTACTTATCTTATCTAGATAGACATACAGAGACAATAATCACAAAAACAAGGCAGAGCAAAACAAAAACAAAACAAAACAAAACAAAAAACAATGACCAAAAAAAATCAACCACAAAAAAAGAAAAGCCTATAAATAGTTCCAGGTCTGTTTGTTGGCCTTTACGAGTATTTTCCGGTAGAGTCTGATGGGGTGCCATTTCCTGGCCCCAAAGCCTATTTTTGGTATTCCCCGGGGACTTCATTGCTTTGCTCCCCTTGCTGCTCTTTTACACACCCTTAGCATTTCGCTCTCTTGTCGTGGGGGCAGATGGGGCATAATTCCAGCACTGTTGGCACACACAAGTAATAATTTTGCTTGCTTTCTTGGCAATATAGAAATGTTTTTATGTTTTACCTTGGAAGTTTAACCAGAAGCTATTTGCTTTCCTGTATACCTCTAGTTGAGGTCTCTGAAATCTTATCTCCTGTGTACCTGTAGTTTCAGTCCCTCAAATCCTGACCAAGGTCCCTGCCATCCAGTGGATTCTGACTCTTGGTGGGCTTACAGGACAAAGTAGAACTGCCCTTGTGGGTTTCCGAAGCTGTAAATCTTTGTGAGAGTGGAAAGCCATATCATGTTCAAATTGCTGACTTTGCAGTTTATAGCCCAGTGCAGTTCAGTTCATCCACAGAACATAGACTAATAAAAGAAAAAAATTTTGAATTTTTTACCAAAGAATACATATGGTTAGAAAATAACACGTGAAAAGATGTTCAGTGTCAGTGATCATTAGGGAAAGGGGTGAAAATCCAATACACCACTATGAGTGTGTTCGAATAGCTGGGGGCGAGCGTGGGGGAGAACTACAAGAAACACTCCGGTAGTCTCACGTGAATGGTGGTGGTGCAGAACCACTGGATTCTCAGCTGTTGTTGGTAGGAATGCACAGTGGCACAGCAGTTTAGATTTCTTTTTAAACAGTTTTAAAAGAGAAAAAGAATGTGATGCTTCGTATACCATGAAAGTCAACCTTTTACCGTATTTCAGTTTATTGACCGAGTTCACAGAGTTGTACAGCCAACGGTTGTCTTATTTGAATGTAGAACATTTTTAGTATTTTATTAGGATCCAATTTCTCCCGAGCCTTACTGTAAAAATGGTGTGATGGTATAGCTAGTGAAGAAGTGACTGTAGGCACCTCCTCCCTCCCCCCTCCTGTACCCTGCCCCCTGCCCCCTGCCCCCACTCTACCAGCAAGCGTCCATCTTGTGTGCTCTTCAGTGTCACAGTTCTTTCTGTCTCCTGGCTGAGCAGGTTCCCAGCATAGGAAGCCAGGCACAAAGATATGCTCTTGCTCTCTTTAGGATGAATGCTTAAAATATAGTGGGATGGCAAAGCTGAACAACCCCCTAAAGGAGTCTGTATGCTTTATTTGCATAATTCCGCCTCCCCCAATGGTTTCATGTGCTTTCTTTGGGCTATTAAAAGACTGCCCAGTCCCCTTGGTGACCCACAGCTCCTTATTTATTTTCAGACTCCCAGCCAGTGATTTTGTGGGAGCACTAAGACTATGGCTAAACGGGCCCTTTAAAGCAGCTCACGAAAAATAACAAAGAAATAGAGCAGCTTCCTCAGTGGCCCCCACTCATGCTTGGTGCTGTCGGTCTCCACATGGGGTAAGGCGGTAATGGCACTGTTGTTTCCCTTGTTCCTCGCTGCTGACTTGTGTGCATCTTCTAATGTGTGCATTGGACATGTGTGTCTTTTCTTTGGAGAAATGTGCAATGACATCTTTTACTGATTAGAACAATCGAGTTGCCTCTTTGGCTATAGATGCTAAGAGATTTTGATGCTAGATATAGACCCTCATAAGATAAATGATTTACAAATATATTTCCTATTCTGCGGCTAGTTTTTCACTTTTTGGATAGTGCCTTTTGTAGTACAAGCATTTTTTATTTTGATAGTGCTCAGTGTATCTTGTTTCTCTATAGTTGTCTACACTTTTGGTGTCACATTTAAGAAACAATCGCCTAATCCAAGGTCAGGACATCCTCCTTCCCCCAATTCTAAGAGATACACTTTTAGCTGTTTGTCCATTTTGAGTTAAATTTTGCATTTGGTGGGAGGCATGGGTCTAATTTCATGATTTTGAAAGTTAATAATGCTTACTATATGGTGCAGCTTCTCCTACTCCTAGCTACTTAGCCAAATTCATGCAAAATTCTGTACACATATTTATATCTGCATTGTAGGCAAGGATCATCTGTAATGGATACTATAATTAGCGAGTGAAAGTAAAAGGAGAAAAGATGCTGGCATGGTTGCAAAATATCTCCCCTTAAGAAACCTATTAATTATAAAAGGAAAAACACTAAGTCTAGGTGGAGAAGCCTGGCAGACACCACCTTAGCCAGGAGTCAGAGTTTGGTAGGAGGAGTAGTTAGGACATCCTGCACCCTGGACCTCATGTACTGCACGGGGCACAACTCGACTCTGTGGTAGTCAGCCTCAAATGACCAATTTGTATCTGACCATGAAGGCCAAAAATTGAGTGTGGGGTGTGGGGAGCATTCCGCAAAATGACCAGTATTCTTCCAAACTCTTGTGCCCATGAGCGACACCTCTGACAGCCGTTCTTACAGATGGGAGCTCACAGAAGTTACACCACATGTCATGTGGGCCCCTGGATTGGACCCTGGTCCAGGAAAGGACATTGGTGGGCAAGTGGCAAGATTTGCATGAGCTCTGTACATTAGTTAGTGGTGCTTCTGTTAGTATTTCAATAATTACAGGAGAAATATATAAGGCGTTAATGTTAGAGGAAGCGTGTATAGGAATTTTAATTTAACACATATTAAATATAAAATTAACGTTAAAATTTTACAGAACGGCAGTCTTGGCAACAAACAGTTGTCATCCAGTTAAGTAATTTTGGATAACCACCATCCAGTTAAATAATTTCTATAATGCCTGCCGATGCAAGCCCAGTGAGAAAGAGTTTCTAATATCTCTGGCTGTTCTATTCAGGGATGTCTGGATTTAAGTAACTTTGTGTCCAGGTGGAAGTCTTTGTAGTAGATTTTGTCCTACTGCATTTAGTCACTGGCAACAAAAAGCTTCAGTGTGCGGTAGACGGAGCCCCGGTCGTGCGGGGCCCCATTTGCTTCATGTACCATGTCTTAACCTGAAGAAGGAAGAGAGGAGAGGAAGGAGAGGCGGAGAGGCAACAGGAAAAGGACGGACTTGGCACAGAATCGGCTCTGCTTTATTTAGAGTTCGTGAACGGAATGTGTTGACAGCACATGTGAAACTTAATGGCTGCGGAATGAAGGCGGTGGGGCTGTACCAGCTGCTGCCCTGATACAGCATTCCTGCGATAGGAAGGCAGGCCCAGGGTCACTGCCTCAGAGCTCTCATGGCGTTGGTTGCTTAGGTTTGTTTTTTTTATTCTTTCTTTTTGGCAAGTGAAGTCTAACGATTTTGACATTACAAGATTTTTTTGCGGGTTTGAAAGTAGATGCTGATCATGACATTGTTTGGAGCTTCCTCATGTGACGTTGAGCTGCCTTTGGGGTTCTCTGGGCAGTAATTTTCACAGGGGCAGATGGCCAGGTCTGTCTAGCTCAGAGTGGCGGATGGGGTGGGTGGAACCACCCACAATCTCTCTGTTATTAGCCAGAAACTTAACTGTTGCATGAGCAGGGCTCTGATGTGAAACCCAGCTACTTGAGCCTGTCTGTAGTAGAAGAAGTTAGGAAGCAAATCGCTTTTGTTTTGGAAATGCCCCTTTGTGATTTTTGGGTTCCACAAAGGTGAGGTGGCAGAGAAGCCATATCTGTGCTGAGGAGGAGGTTTGAGCTCTTTGCCTGGAATGAGGAAACACATTTCTGAAATACAAGCTGTCTACTGCTTTTTTTACCTGGGAAATAAGAAAACCTTAATCACTTTGCCCTTTGTTACAAAGCAAATTCACTGCTATTGAGATGATGCCAACCCAGACCCTGTAAAGACAGGGTATTACTGCCCTTGTGAGTTTCTGAGACGGTAACTCTATGGGAGTAGAAAGCTCAACAGGACTGAAAAGGGAAGAATAATAACTGCCTGTGTGGCAGTTGGTGTTTTTGAACTGCTGACCTTGAGGTTAGCCCAACTGGTTCCTCAATGTTAAAGACAGAGCACTAGTGGTGTGATCTTGAAGGGCACAGCCTTATGTTGCCAGGTCCTTCTCCACAGTTCAGCATTTGAATTCTCTAGTCGTAATGCTTTAATTTCTGTAATGAAGTTTCACATGCACCTGTTTACACCAGGGGAGATAATAGGGATGCTTGGATTTTGTTAAAATTTGATGCTGTATTTGTGAAAATGTACACTCACCACTGTCATTGGCACAGAGTTTCAGAAACTGTGGAGGAGCGTCACTGTGGATTCAATGGATGAGGAGAAAATTGAAGAGTATCTGAAGCGACAGGGTATTTCTTCCATGCAAGACTCTGGACCAAAGAAAGTGGTATGTCATCCTAGGGGCAATCGACTCCTCTGTTCTTTGAACTGTTCGCTTCCTGTTCTCCCTGGAGAGCGAGTGGCCCACCCTACCCCGTTTTCCTCAGTGTCTTGGTCTCGTGATGTAGACCAGCTTGTTTCTGCTCTGCTGGGGGTACAGTGGATGGAAGGTGTCTTCTCACCTCTCCAAGCCTCATCCCAGCAGCTCCCACCATTCCAAACAGCTGGGTGTCCTCTAATGTTTGCAGATTCTCAAAGGAACCTGCTTGGTCTCTGTGAATCCTTCCTTTTGGGGCTGGCTCTGCCATATTCGTCGTCACACTGAATTGTCCTGGTTGTTTTTCATCCTTAGGATACACAGGACTGCCCTTGTACCCCTCACCCTTTGCCCACTCCACTGTAGGGTGCAGTAATCAAATGAGAACACGTGCGTTATCTTGTACCAGCTAATCAGCTGTCGGTGCTCCACAAGCAGAGCCGGGATGAGGACTACTGGCCAGCCCTTGGGCCTGCCTCTGCTCTGTCCGGGTCCATTCGTTGACAGCATGCTCGTCACTTGCTTTCTCAGTGGCTCTGGCTTGTCTGTTTCTATTCAGTGAATTTTGGAGACTTATAAAAAGAACCGATGTACTGCCCAGTGCTTTCCATGAATTAGTGTAAGACAGCATTCATCCTTTCCTGTTGCTGCTTAGTTTGTTGATTAAAAAGTCACACGATACATTTCAATTGTCGAGCGAAGGGAAGACTAATAGCACACACGTTTGTGTGCCCAGTTCGCCCTATCTCAGGCTTTGCCAGACTAGCTTCAGGTCTTTTTTTTCCCCTTTCTTTTTTTCTATCAGCAATGGTGGTTGTAGTTTTTCCTAAACCTGGTAAAGGAAGACTGCAAAGAGCCTTCTCATTTGCTCAATTTAGTGCTATCAAAGCACTGTCAGCTGGGTGCCACCCCTTGCTCTTGAGCGTGTGGAGGGAATGAGCTGCTCTGTGGGAGGCTGCCTTACCCAGCAGGACAGAGGAAAATGAAAGCCCCTGTCTCTTTACTGCTGGTTTCCGGGGGATTTTTAGTAAATTATGGCCATACTAACCCTCTCTGAGTCACGGTTATAGCTAACACTTTTACTCATCCTTTTAGGCACCTATTCAGCGAAGGAAAAAGCCTGCTTCACAGAAGAAGCGACGATTTAAGACTCACAATGAACACTTGGCTGGCGTGCTGAAGGACTATTCTGACATCACTCCTGGCAAATAGTGACCTCTGTGCCCTTGAGCAAAAAGCTGCACATCCAGAGTCCAGGGCATTGTGGGTGATGTTTGCAATCTGGGGACGCACTCTTCCTGCCCTCCCTCCCACTAAGGCTGAGAAGAGCAGCAGCTGAGCTTCCCCACCAAGTGCAAACCACCAGACTCGAAGGTTCCCTCATCCCCTGGGCTCCTGAGAAATGGGCTGGGGTGACAGGCACAGTTGCCCTTCTCCTCGGATGGCTCTTAATCTGGCATATGAGGGTTCTAGATACTTAGCTCTGCTTCTGGGTGGTTCCTGATTCCATGTTCCTCATTTATTACTTTAGAGCAAGTTTGCAGATAGTTTTGAATGCAGTCTTCGCTTGTTCTGAATGAACGTATTTATAATAAAATGATTGTAGAAAGGCATTAGCGGTGTTGGTGAGCTCAGCCTTTTTCTTTTCCTTCTGTTGGTCAACCATGGCCCCGTGGGCACACATTGGCAATGCTGTCATTGTGGACCACATGGACTTCGCAGTTGGGATGCAAAGTATGCTTGTGTGAGCACGTTAAAGCAATAAAGAAACGCCAACTAGAATGACATGCTTTGTTCTGAAGGGATGAGCTTGGGTTGTTTAGGAATGTGGATTCCCAAGTCATGGTTCAACATAAATGTGAATGCAGGCTCACCGAGGCCACCTTGATCTCAGCATCCCACCTCCCTGCCACTGGCAGCGCTCATGAAGGCCTTTGGAGCCATGGCTCGTTGTGGAAGTCGTCACCACCAGTGGAGGCTGTAGGTTGTAAACAACAAAGGGGATTGATGCTCTCAGAGCAGTCAGTGCACAGGGGAGGTGACAGGAAGCTGCCACCTTCCTGCCTCTCTCTTCATCCCCTGTCTCACTTCCCGTGCTGTCCTGGTCCTTACTGTCTGTAGCTCCAGCATGGGAAGGTACAACTCTGGGCGGGCCATGTGGCGATTGAGACCTGGAAGCTCAACTCACCTTCCTCTGTCTGGGACACTTTCTGCTAGTACAAAGGGGCTTGTGGCAAAGAACGAATTTTTGTGACACTCTTGAGCAGTGGTTCTCAAACTTCTTAATGCCTCGACCCTTTTATATAGTTCCCCATGTTGTGATCCCAACCATAACATTATTTTCATTGCAACTTCATAACTGTAATTTTGCCACTGTTATGAATCGTAATGTAAATATCTGATATGCAGGATGTATTTTCATTGTTACAAATTGAACATAATTAAACTTAATGAAAGCATAGTGATTATTCACAAAACAATATGTAATTATATATTGTGAAATAAATAATGTGTTTTCTGATGGTCTTCAGCAGAGGTCCTCAAACTTTTTAAACGGGGCCAGTTCACTGTCCCTCAGACTGTTGGAGGGCCGGAGTATAGTTTAAAAAAACTATGAACAAATTCCTATGGGCCCGGGACAGGCAGCGGTGGCAAAAATACCCGTTGGGCCCAATAAATGTCCTCGGTGGGCCGCATATGGCCCCTTGGCCATAGTTTGAGGACCCCTGGTCTCAGGTGACCCCTGTGGAAGGGTCGTTGGACCCCTCAAAGGGCTCGTGACCCACAGGTTGAGAACTGCTGCTCTAGAGCCTAGCTTATTGCCAAGACAGATGCCTAATTTCAGTGGTTGTCCACACCACCATTGTGAGCAGTCCTGGAAATGCAGTGTGGGCATCTCAGACACGGCATCCTGGTCTGCAGACAGGCACAGCGACACCAAGGCCCCCCCTCAGTTGTCAAAGCCGGGACAGTGCTGACTGCTGGCTGTACGCTATTGCTGATTTCTAACTAAGTCTGAATGTACCAGCGCGTGGGGACGGACCTGCTCATTGGCTTTGATTACCTAGTTTAAAACTCATTTCAGTCAGAAATGAGGAACTTGAGAAAGTCCTAGTGTCTTGCAGATTACCACACCGTCAAGTCCTACCGCCTCGCCTCGAAGATTTCCCCTTTCTCCTGGGAACCTTAATCCTCCTTGCCTGGCCTGGGTCTGAGGAGCTCCTGGCTCTGCCTGCGTTGGGATTGGCTCATCTGTGCCATGCGCGGAGGGCACATTCTTGTGGAAAGTTTTGATAGGAGCCTAGTTGTGTTTGAAAATCATAATATAAAAAGAAGTAACTGCCTGACCAGTTCTCCAGGGGATCTTAAAACATCTACCAGAAGTCCCAAGTTAACACGCAAGTCATGTTCCTGCCTCTGCCCATTTCTCCTGGCTCTGTGGGCCATTTAGAAGCAAGTGGGAACTGCATGGCTGAGTGAGTTAAAAGGTTAAGACAGTCTGCAGGCGTTTGATCCATAATTCATCGGTCATTTGAGGCTTTCAGAGGCGAGCTGAGAATGGTTGAGCCCAGACCAAGTGTAAAAACCAAGCATGGGCTGCTGCTGTCACCTCCTATAAGGGCAGCCAGGTGATGGGGGCACTGGGAATTGGGGTTCTCATAACCTGTTGGCAATGTTGGTGAAAGGGCAGTGGGGGGCTCACGTGCCCCAGTGTCCACAGAGCCAGCCCTGCATTGTGTCCAGCGCTCAATGACCTGTGAGCTGCATGGAATCGCCAGCAGCCCAATTATGTTCTGAACTCAGATGGCGGGGTGGGAATTTTCATATATGAACCTTCCGGTTCTCACTTGCTCATGGAAACGGCTCTGAGGCATGATCGGTGAGACTCAGTGTCCCCACCCCCTCCTGCCCCTCCCATTGCTTTCTTTTCCAGTGATTACTGCGTGGAGAAAAGGGGTTGGACTTGCCCTACATGTTCATGAACTGAATTGAACAAGGCAGGGACTGCGTGCCTGCTGGTGGGTGGTGGAGTCGGAGCGGGGCAGTATGGCGCTTGTGTGTGTTCACAGGACGGCAGTCTGAGGAGCCTCATTTCCATGTGCGTTTTGTGAGATGGCCCTGAGAGGTATTAACGGATGTTCTGGGGGAGACCAGTCATGATCAGATACATTTGGTAGCTATTTGTCAAAAACTAAGTGGGCCTGGGACCACCTGTGGCAGTCCTGTGGCGTGAATGCTGAGAAGCACTTGGAAAACACAGGCTAGCCTGGCCCAGTGCGCGGTTTCCTTCATGAAAGGACTTGTGTTAGACATGAACAGGCCCGGTGCTCCTCCCTCCCCAGTTGGACGGGGCAGCTCTGTAAGGTCCTCTTTGGACGGCTGAGGACCATCTTAGTGGTTCAGCTCCATTGGTCTGGAGGTGGGCCAGCCAATGTTTTTCCTGTGACTCTGTCTGTGTGGATTCAAGATGCTGCGTGTGACTTGGAGTGTTTTAACAGTTAATTTCAAATGTAGGGGAGCCGGGATCAACTGGAAACTTAAGTGGGACTGGCCTTGGCATCTAGTGTTCTGACCTCAGCAAATCAGAATTGTGCCCAGCTCCCTTCAGAGGACAGAAGGAGGATGGCATCTGGGGACAGAGCCATCCACAGTCCGAACCAAGAAGAGCTGGTTTTCCTTGTTTACCCTTTGACTGATTGAGCTTTTAGCTTGCTCGACAAGCCTCTTGTGCCCAAGGTAAAGGGTTGGTATTCTAGTGTTAGGGGAGAAGAACTGCTTTGTCCAGGTAACTATTTCTAATTTGAGTAGCACTTCTTATTGGATGCTTGTGTTCGTTTGTGTACACACACACACACACACACACACACACACGCTTTTATTTTTGCATATGGGAAAAGTTTGGCTTGAATTTAAGCATTTGCTCTTTGACTTGTTATCCAGAAGTTCCTGGGTGGTGCAGTTGTTTAAGTGCTCAACTGCAATCCACAATTTCGGTGTATTAAACCCACCCCAGGTGCCTGGAAACATGAGCCTGCTGATCTTGCTGGTGAAAGGGTCACAACTTTGAAACCCCTGTGGGACAGTTCTAACCTGAACACCATGTGGGTGGGGCCACCATGTGTCGGAATCCACTTCATAGCAATTAACAATAGCATTCATTGTCAGCCACACCCTGATACTTAGGGCGATATGGAGAAGTGACTGTGTACTCTGCATAATTATACTTTCTGCTTAGGAATAATGTACATAGCATAAAAGGTTAACTGTTCAATTTGATGTTTTGACTTATACACATTTATGTAAACACCAGTGGGGGTGGGGTGGGGAAGAGAGGTTGTGCCCATCACCATAGAGAGAGATCCCTTATACTTTCCAGCTTCGTCTACCAAAGACAATCATTCTGGCTTCTCATTGTTGATGAGTTTGCCTGTCCGAGGATGTAGTGTCAATAGAACTACATATGTGCTCTTTATGTTTGATTGCTTTCACTTGGCATAATAAAGTTCGTCCATGTTGTGTCATGTATTAAAAACATTTTATTTTCTAATTTAGTTTCAGCATGTTCAAAGCACTCAAATTTCCCAAGTGACCAAACAGAATGGAAGGACCCTGTTTTCCCACTGCCTAAGACCTTGATAACAGAATGGTGGGAGAAGGTGTGGAGATTGATAATGGAAGACTGCTTTGTTGTGTTACATCGAGTGACTGGATAGGACAGTGGAACTGCCCCCAGAGGGTGTCCACGGCTGTCATCTGTATGGAAACAATGCTTCAGCTTACTCCCTTGGAGCACTGGGTGAGTTTAGACTGCTGAGCCTTTGGTTAGCAGCTGAGTTATTAGCCCTTCTAGCAGTAGGGCTCCTTTGGGTTACCCATGATACATGATGTTATGTTTGTAGGAGCAATCACAGGTTACCCTCATGAAGCAGGAATCAATGGCTTGATCTCTTCATGCTTTTGGTAAATTAGATCCCAGTTGGAAGAGAGGCTGTAGAACATGGTATGCCATGAACTGGATTGTTTCTCTTCAAAGTGCGTTAAGCCATGGCTTCAGCATTGTGTAGCTGTCCTCCATTCTGTGATCTGATGTAATTATTCCCTGTTTATTATGTGTTGTAAACTCTGACCTCTGTGTTAATGAAGCAAGATGAGGTGATGTTTGTGACAGTGGGGCAGGATTAGAGTGGTCTGTACAACAGCCTTACTCAGGTCACTGTCCTGTGTTCTCTTGGGTGTGGCCTGCATCACCTCTTACTTTACCTGAGAAAAGGAGAGAAGTGAGCAGAGAGGACCTCAGCACCACTAAGAAAGTAGAGCTTATACTTTGTTACTGTGCTGAGAACCTCTTAGAACTCAGGACGAAATTGATGCTGTGGCCCATGGAGATCTCTAAGGAATGACAGTTCCACAGATGTTGAAAGGAAACAAGCATCTTCTCCCAATAGCTGACAGAGAAGCCTTCCCCTAGGGCTAGCACCCTGAATCCAGACTACTGGCCTCCTAGATGGTTAAGAATACATTTGTTTAAGCCATCCACTGTGGTATTTCTGTTATAGCAGAAATACTGTAACTAGATAACTAAGTCATAGTATATTAGAACTTTCTCGGACTTGAGGCAGTTACACTATGAAGCCAGTTTAGGGAAGTTAGAGTACTCTAGCATGGCAGTATATAAGATCAACAAAGATAAGTCTATCAGACTGCTATACATATCAGATAAGATCACAGAAGAGGAGAGCAAAAAGGTGGTACCCTTCACAATAGCTGAGCAAAAATTGAGA